TGGACTATCAGCTGATCCAGGTAAAAACGTGGCCAAATCTGACCATCTTTTGCTAACCATGGTCATTAAGCTCTTCATGATGAACATCTGGTTCTTCTACTGATGTTTGTGGAGACAGTGCAGGAGTTTTCAGGATGGATGGCTCATTTGCAGGAGGCAGGGGAGAAGCAGGAGGTGTGCTTTGAGGGGTGGGAACAGGTTCAGGTGTTTCCACGATGGATATTTCCTTTGGCAAAGGCAGGGGAGAAGCAGGAGGTGTGCTTTTGGGAGTGGGAACTGCAGCAATCTCATCAGGGTCAAGCTGTAAAAAGAGAAAGCTAAACATAATTTTTGTCCCAGATCAACCTGCCCAAATATAACATACTGACTTAAAACAGAATTTCTCTTTTTTTTTTTTCATATTCCTTCATGGAGACCTGACTGTTAGAAGGATGTGAACCCAACAAATAATTTGTATATTTAATTTAAAGGGTTAGTTCACCTGCCTATGTAAATAAGGCATGTCTGTAGACAAAATGTGCAGCTCTGACTAAAGCTGAATAATGCCCTAGCTATAGGTGTAGGCCATTTACATACCTCCCAAAGCCTGAACTACTCCCAGGAGGTTGCTAGGACATTGCTAATTGAGGCCTAGTCATTAATGCTCACCTCCACCATCACAGGAGTGAGCTTTTTCTCCGATTTAAACCCCCTTACATGCTATTTCTCTCCCATAATGCAGTAGCTCTGAGCTCAGTGTTTGAGAGCTCACTCCTGTGATGGAGGCGAGCAGTAACAACTAGGCCTCACTTAGATACACCCTAGCAACATTCTTCAACTATTCCAGTCAGGCTTCAGGAGATACATAAACCTCTTACACCTATAGCAAGGGCATTATTCAACTCTAGTCAAAGCTGCACAGTTTGTTTTCATCTACAGACATCCCTTGCCTGCATAGGCAGTTGTTTGGTAAATGAACTAACCCTTTAATAAAGGGGTTTTTTGGTTACCTACAATAACATTGGGGCTGTGTAACGTGGTCAGCTTAGGTACAAACATAGCTTTTATCTTTAAAGCCAAACTTCAGGAAAACAGAAAAGCACACACAAGAAATAGGTAATAAAGGGCCTGTCTACATGCCAATGGATTTTTCTTGTTCAAACATTTTTATTAACAAAAAACCATAATAACACAAACTAGGAGAATTCGGTAATGTACATTGGACATTGAAGTGGCAGTAGGACATAGAAAAAAATGGATGATGATCACATTACAAATGTCTATACTTTTCTAGCGGAAACAGGTAAATAAGAGTTGACAACAGATGACATTATTGTCCCAGCCAATCAGAGTAACGTCTCCCAAGTGCATTATAGAAATAAGGGGAAGTTTGGATGGGGGTCAGACGGGGGTGGAAGGGAGGGAAGGGGAAGAGGAACAACAACTATGACTCCATGAGCATTCATCAAATTTACAGCAGACCCCACGTGTTGCCTGCAAAGGGCTATTGACAGTATCCTTGGCGCACAGTATACAAATCAAGGGAGGAGGAGTGATTCATCATAGTTAGGTGGGAGGAAGCGCTCTACCCATGGGCTCCATATGCGCAAGAATTTAGGAATCTTGTCTAGAATTGTGGCTCTGCCAATGGATTTTTAATTCCATTCATCTAGTCCTGAGATATATACACAGCCCTTTCACACAGCAATAGTCTTGCCTAACAGGGATGGGACCTGGTCATTCTCTGCTGCAGTTTCACTTTCACTTAGAAGCATCCCCTTCACCACCAACTTTAATTAAATTAACTTATTTCCTTGTGTCTCTGCTCTCTCCTACTTTCAGCATGCTTCTTGCTATACAGTAGACTGTAAGAGGCTAATACCAGGTCAGATTCGAGAACTTACACTCTTTCCATACAAAAGAAAATACTTATGATGACTAATGACTGAGTACTAATGACTATTAATGATGTAATATGATTACAGAGCTACTTTAATTTGTATCTTTAATATCTGCGTGGAGTTCTGCATTTTGAGATCTTTAAAGATTTAGCCACAGCTTACCTATTTAACTCTAAATATAAAATGACCAAATTGGGGTAGATTTCAAGTAAAGATGTATTATTGTTGGAAACACTGTCACTTTGTCCATTCAGAGCAAGGTGACGATGTCTGCCGATTGCTTACATCACCAGCAAAGTACAACTGCCCAGAGTCCTCACTTCCGGTTTCCACCATGGGTAAGCTCCAGTGTCAGAACTTACTGGGTGGATGACGTCAATGTGCTTACTCATAGGACAGTATTTGAACCTGGCAATTATAGTTTGTATAATGTTTTAGACCCTTACTGTTATATAAAAAAGTACAGCAAAATGATATTATAAAATGTCAGAATAAAATACTTATCTACCTGCACATCAGGTTGTTCTAGACTGTGAGTTGGCACAGCTTGAGTTTCTCTCTCTCTCAGCATGGTGGCTATAATCTCTGCCAGAGCTTCCTCGACATAGTTGCGAATCAAACTGGAATCCACAGGAATGCCTGCATAAAAAAACAACGGCAAGACTTTACCTCCAGCAGCTACAACTACAAAAAAGAAGATGAGCGCTGAAAAAAAAAACTGTAGTGAATCAGATACATAAAAGATACTTTATCATAAAAACTCAGTCAACAGGAAAGCAATAGAAACATACAGACCAACAAGATTTTTAGCTTTAAGAAGCTAGGAGCTGTTTGTACATTATAAGTGTGTAAGCAGTCATATGCTATACATTATTTGGCCAAACGACTGAGGTCGCCTGAGCATTACAACTATATGAGCTTGCTGGACATCCCATTCCAAAGCCGTGGGTATTTATAGAGAGGTGCACCTTTCATTTGTGTCTAGAACAGCCTCCACTCTTCTGGCAAGGCTTTCTATAAGACTTTGAATTTGTGCCCATTCAGCCAAAAGAGCATTTGTTAGGTAAGGTACTGATGTTGGAAAAGATTACCTGGCTTACATCCCTAAGGTGTTCTGTAAGACTAGTCAATATGTTTGTGCAGGCCACTAAAGTTCCTCCACACACTTATCCAACCATGTCTTTATGAGGCAAGCCGTGTGCACAGGGTCAGAATCATGGAAAAGATAAGGGCCCTCACTAAACTGCTGTGGTACGGTTGGAAGATCTGATTACATTTTTAGACCATATCACTAATGTTTTGGACCAGGGTGGTGCTGTGGACCTTTTCTGATTTCAGCAAAGCATTTGACACAGTTCCATATAATGATCTAATAAAAAAAATCTTTACAAGCTAGGACTTAACCCTTGGGTGGTTCAGTGGATATGCAGTTGGCTAAAGAATAGATACCAGATACGGTTGTAAATGGGATTCATCTGGAACAGAGAAAATTCCCTAGTGGTGTATCACAAGGCTCTGTACTAGGTTCTGTTCTATTAGTAAATTATATAACTAAAGGATTGGTGGGAAAGGTATTGTCTTTTTGCTGATGACACATAGGTTTGTAATAAGGTTGACATCACTGGAGGTGTCTGCAACATGGAACATGATTTGACATTGCTAGAAGATTCTTTTCCTAGGGAAAAGCATTCCTTGAGAGAGTACAATATTGGGGTGGTACAGGGTTGGCAGGCACTACAGAAAAAAGATTTGGGAGTACATATTTGGAGGAAAGAAGGGAAAGGGAAGACAAGATAAAAACCTTTAAATAAATCAAGAGTGGAATAAGGTTCAGGAGGGAAGTATTTTCCATATGAAGCCAAGATTAAGAAAACATAGATGTGACCTCAAACTAGCAGGAGGAAAGGTCAAAACTAATCTTAGAAAGTATTACTACCGAAAGAGTAGTTGATATTTGGAATAGACTTCCAGCAGAGGTAGTGTGTCAGTCAATAGTAAGTCAATTCAAACAGGCATGGGACAAACATAGACCTATACTCTATAATTAACAAAAAAAAAAAAAAAATCATACATAACTTTTTTCTTTCGTCACTTTTCTATGTTCCCATGGAAGTGTACAATTGTGTAAAGTGTCTTGTATGAAGTAGCATGAACGGTGTCCCTAACTCGAAACAGCTGAACTAAAGTGGCTGTAACGGCATACATTTATTTTCAAAAATAATAAACATGCTATACCTATCATTGCACAGAGCGGCCCCAAACCTCCTCTTCTGGGGTCCCCTGCCAGTGCTCTTGGCTAAGCCTCCCTTCCAAGCAGCTTGCTATGGGGCACTTGTACAGGCTTGATCCAGAGCCAGACTGTGCGCGTCCACAGACACACAGCACTGCTTGGCCCCAATCCCTCCTCACGGGATTTGATTGACAGCAAAAGGAGCCAGTGGCTCCCACAACTGTCTCTGAGTCCTGAGAGGAAAGAACAGCACTACTGCTCTTGGGCACAGCGCAGGGTTGAGATAGGACTCAAGCAAGTATTTGGGGGAGCTCACAATGGTATGTTTTCTACCTTATTGCACAGAATGATTAACCTCCCTAGCGGTCTGATTATGTCCATGTTTCTGTGCTCAAAGTGGTACATTTTTTTGCATGGAAATATGTAGTTTTTTTATTGTAGGCCTGTAATTTTTAGGAATAACTCACTGAAATCTGTCTGAACAAGAGTCTAGTAAACATCCCGGGTATGTTAAAATTTGAAACACGAAATCATAAACTATAATTTAATAAATAATCAAAAAAAAAAAATGATAATATAATAATAATACATTTAATTCAATAATATAATCAAACCAAAAACATTGAAATTTGAAATATAGCGCCAAGTTCGCACATCACTGAGCAAAGTCGCAAAATTGTTTTCAGTGTCTGATGACGAATTTCCCCCACGAATCATTATCACTCAATTCTGCAAGTGGTTCTGATTTACTATCGCTGTTCTCTAGCCGGTCTAAAACCGCTTTTGACCTAAAAGGGACGCTTTTTGGACGCCATGAACATTTCTCAGTTTCCAGGCAGAAAGAACAGTAAAAATGCATGCAGGGCACAGGACAAAGCACTCGGGACAAAATGTATGTGAAATGGTTTGATACAGTAATGTTTTACTATGTGATTTTAGTGAATTTAGTGAATGTCACTTTTTGTCATTTTCAAATTTCCCACCGTTCCGTCGTCGCAGGGAACGGAACCCAGAAGACAGATGCCGACATCCGCCGGAAGACATTACAGGGGACACTGCAGGAGGGACATTGTGGGAGCGCAGGACAAGGTAAGAGAAGAACAGATCCTGGAGCAGCGCCGCATGGTAAGCCCGAGTGTAGCTCGGGGTTACCGCTTGTGGTACTGAAACTTTACCCCGAGCTACACTCGGGAATACCACCAGGGAGGTTAAGGTGAAAAAAAAAAACAAAAAACAAAAAAAATCTCTTTGCAACCACTTTATAATTTGGAGGGATGTCCATATACTTTATAGTAGGCCTTATAGTAGGTGTTATGTTCTGATGTCATTAAATATTTGACCACATGGTATTAGATGTATTTGTATACATAGAACAAAAATATACATACCAGCATCTGAGGCTCCTTTAGACTGGTCAGTCACTGCATGCCTTTCATCGATGACACGAGCTATTACTTCTTGCTCCACCCTAACACAAAAAACAGAGTTAGTAACTGTATAGGTGCTCCAACCAGTGGCTCTTATGCTGGATATACCAACAAGGATCTTATTGCTCAAAAGTGACTGACTGTCCCAAGCAGAATATCCTGTCTGGCATAATGTGACTTTAATCTCCCTAAAGGACATTACAATACTCTTCTGGTTTATCTACATTGTATATTAATTTCTGCATTATGTTGTTACTTTAGGAAGATATAATATTCTCTAATAATTGCTACACAAGGTTGGTACTTTTGCAGGTGATTATACAACCTTACAATGTCATTGTAAAGTTATAAGAAGTCACTAATTAAGCCCCTTTCTGGTGGTCAGGGCTCTCACACATGCACCTCTTTTTCTTGTAAAATATTGATAGATTGTTTTATAGTTTTGCGACTAAAAAAAAGAGGAATACAACATTGGACAAACTCTGATATCTTTCTACATGATTGTTCCGTAGTATGATCATTATTGACTATTACAATAATTGGTTCAAATTGATTATTGCATGTATTATGAAAAACAGAGGGAAAATGATCAAAACTGCAGCAGCTGTGCATGGCAGTGAATCAGCTTCTATCTTTCATTTCAAAGCTTATCTAAAAAAGCTGAAGAGAGAAGCTGATAGGGTACCCTGCTCTAGATTTTGTCTGCTCCAGTTTTTTGATGAAATCCCCCCACCATCTTCATGTATGGCCATTTTAAACGAAGTCTGACATTAACAACTTCCACTTAAACTGAGTATGGTCCATGACAGTACAGGTTGGTCTCATATATTCTTCCAGACCTGGTATATGTTGCACATAGGATAGCAGAAGATACTGAAACTATAGTAGATCCAGCTTCCCTGTGTCCATGAGACTGGATGTGGCCCAGCATGTGGAAACCCCTGTACCTGCAGAAGTTAACTGAGGTTCCCGCTATACTGCTCTTATGCATGAGAAGACATCTGATGACCCTTGTTAACAGCTTGAATCATTGGAAATCTCTTTATGCAGAGAAAAAATACATGAAGGCCTCTAACACAATAGGTGCAACCTTCCTAAATACAGTGAAATTCATAATCACATGGGAAGCTGGGGACCAACATGCAGAGATCTCACTGGTAGTGTACCTGAAAAAGGACAAGTAAATGAGTGCATCTAATAAATAGTAAATGTATTTTTTTTTTTGTGGACAAATACATGATAATAGAAAAAAGGCAGAATGACTCACCAGCTGATGACCGTGTTTACCAAGGCTTCATTCCCATCCAGAATATCAGTTATGGTTTGCAAAGGGGGTACAGGCGGAGGGAAGGGAATCCCACCATATTGGGGTACATTTGTCTCCCCCCTGCCACTTAGTTCCAACATTGGTAAAAGTGCTTCATCTTCTTCATCGTCCTAAAAAAAGGAAAACAAAAAAGAAAAGAAAAACCCAAGTTAAACTCTATTAAAGAGAAATGAGGGCTGAACACACATCAGTGGGGGTAACATCAAATACAAAAAAAAAATAATCTTTCCAAACAGAATTAGTAACAACATTTGATAACAGCATGTGTGTCTTTACTTTACATTTAGCAAAGTTTCAAAGTAAAACAAAAAGGTAAAGTAAAAAGAAGCATTTTCAGGATAAAGGTGAGCACTCTGTTCTGGCTATACCAAGGGGTTGTGTGGGACCCTCTGATTTTGGTGAAGATCACTCATGAATTGTCCAGTCTGTAGGACAGTAAGATGCCATGTCTCATTTTGAGACTGGAAGTGCCCTCATACAGGGATCCCACAGGATTTTCTTAAAGCTGAACTTCACAAAAATCTTTATTTAATTACAGTGCATCCAGAAAGTATTCACAGCACTTAACTTTTGCCACATTTTGTTATGTTACAGCCTTATTCCAAAATGGATTAAATTCATTTTTTTCCTCAATATTCTACAAACAATACCCCATAATGACAACATCAAAGAAGTTCGTTTTGAAATCTTTACAATTTATTAAAAATAAAACCAAACAAAAAAGCCACATGTGCATAAGTATTCACAGACTTTGTCATGACACTCAAAATTGAGCTCTGGTGTATCCTGTTCCCTCTGATCATCCTTGAGATGTTTCCACAACTTGATTGGAGTCCACCTGTGGGAAATTCAGTTGGTTGGACATGATTAGGAAAGGCATAAAGCTGTCTATATAAGGGCCCACAGTTAACAGTGCATGTCAGAGCACAAACCAAGCCATGTAGTCCAAGGAATTGTCCGTAGACATCTGAGACAGGATTGTATCAAGGCACAGATCTGGGGAAGGGTAAAGAAAACTTTCTGCAGCATTGAAGGTCCCAATGAGCACAATGGCCTCCATCATCCATAAATGGAAGTTTGGAACCACCAGGAATTTTCCTAGATCTGGTCTTGTGAAACAAAGATTGAACTCTTTGGCCTGAATGCCAAGCGTCATGTCTGGAGGAAACCAGGCACCGCTCACCACCTGGCCAATACCATCCCTACACTGAAGCATGGTGGTGGCAGCATCATGCTGTGGGGATGTTTTTCAGCAACAGGAACTGGGAGACTAGTCAGGATAGAAGGAAAGATGAATGCAGCAATGTACAGAGACATCCTTGATGAAAACCTGTTCTAGAGCGCTCTGGACCTTAGACGGTTCATCTTTCAACAGGACAACAACCCTAAGCACACAGCCCACATAACAAAGGAGTGGCTGCGGACCAACCCTGTGAATATCCTGGAGTGGCCCAGCCAGAGCCCAGACTTGAACCAGATTGAACATCTCTGGAGACATCTGAAAATGGCTGTGCATCGACCCTCCCCATCCAACCTGATGGAGTTTGAGGTACTGCAAAGAAGAATGGGAGAACTTGCCCAAAGATATGTGTGCCAAGCTTGTAGCATCATACTCAAAACGACTTGAGGCTGTAATTGGTGCTAAAGGGGCTTCAACAAAGTATTCAGCAAAGGCTGGGAATACTTATGCAGATGTTTTTGTTTAGTTTTTTATTTTAATAATAAAGTGCAAAGATTTCAAAACGAACTTCTATCACGTTGTCATTATGGGGTATTGTTTGTAGAATGTTGAGGAAAAAAATGAATTTAATCCATTTAGGAATAAGGCTGTAACATAACAAAATGTGGCAAAAGTTAAGCGCTGTGAATACTTTCTGGATGCAATGTATATTTTGCTTCTGTATTCCAACTTCACGTTAGAGGATGGCTATGTTCCATCTCCATGGTCCCACTGTATGTAGAAATGTAGCTACTTGCTCGCTCCTGAGATGGACTAGGGGCTATGGACTATGGAATCTGTAGCGTGCACAGTACATATGACCACAACAAATGTGCACTGCTCATTCCAAACAAATGGAAGTGAGGGGGCAAAAGGAGTGGTTCAGGTGCTCCTGGGAGACGTTACAAAGAGGCAGAAAAAAAATACACAGTATGAAACAATTTCATGAAAAATAGATTACATGGCTATTAAAATGGAACTTCACTCTCTCAATCAACATGGACTATTTTTAATCCATATGCTGCTAGCATTAGTAAATGGATAGGAAAATATATTATATTTACTTTTTTCAAATTGTTTTTACATTTCTTTAGTTACCTCCTGGTTTCCATGCCTAGGCAAACGATGTCATACATCCAAGGAGTCTTCAGGAGGGGAGGGAGGGTTCTCCGCTCAGCCAACGTCTGAGCTAAGGGCAGAAGGATTCCAGGAAGTAAATGCTACATGAATCATCTACCCTTACTCAAGATGGCCACTGCCAGAAATGCCAGGGGGTGTTTTTCAAAAAGATTTCTCAGCAAAATAAAGCATAAAAACATGGATGGATGGGTGAGTTTGCTTTGAATATTAACCACTTCCTGTCCGGCCCATGTATATAAACAGCTGGACAGGAGCAGTGCCGGGGGCCGGTGGCCTTTTATAAACGTCCTCCCCGCTCCCTGCTTGTGCGCGCTCTTTGGGAGTACGCAGCACCGCGATCTGTTGCCCGCTGTGTCCTCCAGACACAGCTGAATACTGATCGTTGTACGAGACCTTATGACATCATTGCTTACTATGTGTGAAATATGTGAATGATATGTGAATGACAGAGGTCACATGGTACAAGGCTATTCACAACAGCCTTGTACCATGTGACAAGCTGTGACCAATCACCATTCACACAGTATTTCTCAATAGCTGCAAGAATGCAGAGAAAAGGAGAAATGATTGCTTTTACAGCCTGTATGGGTGTAAAAAAAAAAAACAAAAAGAAATCATCACCCCCCCCCCCCACAAGTAGTACAGTGTCATTATGGTGACACTGTACTGCCAGGGTGACAGTATGTATTTTTTTTTACTAATATGATAACTGAACAAATTTTGGCCAAGATTTATGAAGAAAGATTATTTATTTGCAAACTTTTATAAGAAAAACCACTTTTAAAAAAAATTTTGGACTTTTTCATTTATATAGCAAAAAAAAAAAAAAAAATCCCAGTGGTGAATAAATACAACCAAAATAAAGTTTTATCAATCTCAAAAAGATTCATATGGGTACAATGTTGCATGACCATGTAATTGTCATTCAAAGCGTGATAGCACTGAAAGCTGAAAATTGGCCTGGACTGGAAGGGGGTAAAAGTGTCCGGATTGGAAGTGGTTAAAAATGAATTAAATAGCATTTTTGGTTTGTGGTGCTCGGATGCGGTGGAGTTCCACTTTAAGTAGTGCATGAATTATTTTTGCCAAACAAGGATATGGTTTTGATATGCTCTCGTATCAGTAGTTATGTATTACCTCTGGGAAGTCTGGTGCTTCATAAGAGGTGCCAGGCAGGGCAAGGATTTCCTCTTCAGTTTCCATATTTACAGGTAGCTTAGACAAAGGAAAACAGAAGTACAGTAAACCAATCACAAATGAGGGTAATTAAGATTACTATATTGTTAAAAAATGCATAAGTTACCGACAATGAAAACAGCATGTGAAAATAATCAGGGGATCGAAAAGTATAGGCTGCATACCTAAACTTCTCATACAAGCCAACGTTGGCCCAGGCTGCCCCTGACTCTTGAGTGATCACTATTGGTCCTTAAAGTGATGGGTGGTCTCACTGTTCAGTCGAGAGACTGAAGACGGAGGGCAGGGAAATAAAGATTTTCAAATAGTCAACTACCAGTTTGTGAGAAAGTTAAAGTGGTATTAGGCCTTTTCAACAAGAGCCCGTTTTCAGGCATGCAGCATTTTTTTTTACTGATCTAAAGTGTAGCCCATTGTTTTCAATGTGCCTGTACACACAGGCGCGTAAACAAGCGCTGTGTATTGATCAGTACAAAAAAAAAAAAAACAGAAATCTGAGTGGCCGGGCAGTACTTTTGCATGTATACTCGCAGATACGCGTGAATACATGCAAATGCCACGATTGTGTGTGCATACTCTAAAATACATTCTTGTGTGGTTTTTTTCTGCCAGGAATGCCTGATGCTCATACATCAGTACAGTGTGCAAGAGGCCTTAAACCCAAAATGTAATATAACAGTAGTGCAGCTTACCAGTCATTAAATGTGGTGGCTGCATTAGTTTTCTTTTTTAGGCTTTTCTCCCCTCTGTTTTTGACCAGGTGAACTGGCCAGTAACACACCTCCCCTTTGCCCCTGCTCTGGATGAAGGCGGGCGCAACAGAGATACCTCTGGACAGCAGTATTGTCAGTCTGGGGGGAAGGGAGTGTTAGATGGACTAGCAGATTTGGATACACTAACAAATGGAAGCCAAACTCCAACTCACACTTTATAAGCAGTTACAGCAACAGGTTTTCTCTTTTGGTCTAAAGGTTTTACATGAATAAATAAAAGCTAGTCATTATAAACACCCCTGACAATGGTAAATGGTTTGTCTCAACCCTGTAACTGCTATATCTGCAGAACAGCTTGGTCGGTTGAAAAACAACAGACTTATGGCAGGATCACTAGGTGAAAATAGAAGAAATTACGTCTGAAAAAGAAATAGAATGCAGCCATCACATCTAAAGAATGGGTAAACTGCAATATAATAAATATTTGCTTTAGGGTTTAACACCACTTCAACATATCTTTCATATAATTTTCTAAATGTACATTTGGTTTGTGAAAACCTCAAGGTTTATAATAGAAGTAGTGAAATCTGTTGAGTTGGATTTCAGCATTCTTCTCTCCCCCCTTCTTCCTGTGTTCCTGTTCTGTGTTTACATTAGAGGTTAGAAGCCTGGCAGATAGCCAATCCACTGCTAAGAAAGTAGCTGAGCTGCAGAGAAAAGGATAATACTGACAGAGAGGTTTCAGCTGCCAAGCTTGAGGGTGAATTACTCCAGAGTAGCTGCAGCTACAGAAGGGCTTATTTTTTTTGTCCAATAAGTCTGCATGCACACTAGGCCTTTCAATAACGCTGGTAACGTTAGCTATGTAAAGTCATGTAAAAAAAAACGTGAGTTTATCAGCGTTTTTAGCGTTTTTGTATTAGCGTTTTGCCGTGGTTTTTAGGGTTTTTTTTTTTTTGCAAAAAAAAAAAAATGTTTTTAGTCAAAGTCCAAAGACGCTGGTTTGCTGCGATTTACCACATTTTCAGTGTTAGAGCATTTTTACAGCTAAAATACCCACTAGTCCTGGGTTTTTTTCCAGCCAAAAAACGTTCCTGCCACAAAACGTTGATTACAGTCTGTGTGCATGGACACATAGGATAACATGCTGTGGAGTTTACTGGCTGTAGAAAAAAAACACCAAAAGCCAAAAACAGCCGCTGTAAAAATGTCCAGTGTGCGTGAGGACTAATACCTATGCACTGCGGCGAACACACATTACATATGTCAATGTACATCTCTATGTGTGATGCATTGCGGTACTACACATTATGATTGGCACCCACTGGCTCCTGCTGCTCTCAAGCAAATCCTGTGAGAAGAGAACAGGGGGGCTGGAGCAAGCCGCACTATGTGCATCAATGGACACGCACAGCGCACGTGTGCCCCCATAGCAAGCTGCTTGTTATGGGGCCACTCACTTGTGGGAGGAGCCAGGAGTGCTGGCGGGGACTTCAAAAAAGGAGGATCGGGGCTGCTCTGTGCAAATCCATTGCACAGAGCAGGTAAGTATGACATTTGTTATTACTAAAAAAAATTCTTTAGAATCACCTTAAGTTAAAGTGGTTCTATAGTCTGAAATTTTTTTACCTTAATAATACATTCTCTGCACTGCATATCCCACTACCTGTCCTACCCCTGTTACTAAACACTTACCTGGCTCCATATCACCAGTGCTGTCTCTGGCTCTAGCACCACTTCTTCACTTCCTGATGTCACAGGAGAAACTGACGGCAGCGGAGCCATAGATTCCTACTGTCAATCAAACCACGTGAGGAGGGAGCGAGGGTAGGGCTTACCAGTGCTGTGTGGTTCTACAGAAACATACAGCCTGGCTCAGGAACATGAACACACGGTTGCCTTCTTGCACCTGGCTTGCTACAGAAGGAACAAAAAGCATGGAATTGCCAGCAGCGGGAGTAGGTAAGTGACCTTTCTGTACAATACTGCTGCACAGAGCAGGTAAGTATAGCATCTTTTTTATTTAACGAAAGGAGACTTTAGTGTCACTTTAACATTTGAGCGTATTCTTTCATAAATCTCAAAAGAAGCTTTGTGATTTTACTCATTTAATGGGCCCATTATATAAGAATCTGCCAAAAGCAGTAAACCATAGCCACCAATTCAGTTTATTCTAGTTACATCAGTTAAGAGTAGATTTCTGATTGGTTTTAAAGGGTCCCTGCGCTGCTCTGTGTGCTGCTTTTACTGAATGAGCCTTAATACATTACAAACAAGAAGTAAAGTGAAGACTATTTTATGTATGTAAAAGTGAAACGCAGATCTGTTCCTGGCCGCCTGAGCTTTATTCATGTCCAGCCTCATTCTGTAATTTAATCTGTTGTCTAGTGTTATGGAAACAGCTTGTTTTATCACAATTCACACAGATGTTTTCCATTACTCAGACACATGTAAGGTTTACTGACATTATTGAAAAGTTGCCAGAACCTAGATGAAGAATGAATAAATTACCACTAAAAGCAGGCAGTGCTCACGGGAAGTATGTTTGTTATGCTGTATGAGTAATTAAAATATGAATAATTCATCAATGCTGGTGGTTCTAATGAAAATCCTTAACTCATTAGCTCCTCTGCTATACAGATGACATATACAAGTAACTCTTTCTTGCATGTGAACTGAAGCCTAGGCAAAGATTATACAACACAAGGAACACTGAGTGTCTGTTTTTTTTTCTTTTTTTTACACATACCCCACTAGACTTAAAATGAAATATCATTGATTCTGCTTCTTTCCATTTCCATCTCCCAACCCCCTCTCTTCTCCTCCTTCACTATCCTTACCACTGGCTTCTTTATTCTCTCTTTTTTTTTTTCCCTTCTTTTTCTCAGTTTGGGTTTACACTCTTGGTTATACGGAGTTCTCTCATTCTGTTCCATACATCTCGCCCAGGGATGCTCCCCTGAAACTACTATGTTTTGTTATATCTCAGTAATATGGGATATTGATCCTTCCCTCTTGCTGTTGTATAGCATCATTTTCATCCATCCACATGGATCATAGCCACACCTGTGATGTTTTTCTGTTCACTTGTACATATTAGTTTTATTTCTCATGCTTTGTTTTGTAAAAAAATAATAAATACAAATTTGCCTTTAAAATGAAATATCAGGAAGAACAAGGCACAGGAAGCAGAGGTTGCATATGTAATTATGGCTGCCCCAATGTACATATACAATTATTAATTATAAACAGTAGCAAGGTGTTTCTTTCAAACATTTACACACACACATATGATTATTCATATTAAACTAAACTCTTCCCAATTACAAGGTGAACCTCTTTGTAGACAATGCTCTTTTAGTCTTGACTAATCCTCTCAACATACTCCCTAATCTGCAGAGCACTTTGCAAGAATTCCCAGACATTTCAGGACTTAATCCATCCAAAACCACAGCACTAAACATCACCCTTTTGCCCAATCTGGTCTCACAACTGCAAATGCACTTTCCCTACCGATGGGCGACTTGTTCTATTGATTATTTAGGAATTAAGAGAACTCCAACTTATCCATCTTTATTTGCTGCTAACTATTATCCCCTGCTGCACTCACTGACCTCCTTCATGCAGTCATGGCAATACCCTCACCTTTCATGGATAGGTCACATCAATGGGATTAAAATGCCCAAGGCCCTCTACTACTTTCCACACTTCCTATACAGATCCCTTGCAGAAAAGAATACCAGATGTAGCAATAGATGCTTCAGAAATTGTGGCCAACGTGGGGATGTCCTACACATTTGGTGGTCATGTCTAGAGCTGTTTCTGGTCCAGAGTCTTCAGCCTGTTGCGTACTTAATTAAATTTGATGATTTGCAAGAAAGCCAAAGCTAGCCTTATTGCATTGCCCTATCTGGGTCTTTTCACCTATCAACAGAAATCGGCCACATATCTATTATTTGTCAGCCAAGCAGACCATTGCTCAGGCCTGGAGAAACCAACTATTCCCTTTCAAGCAGTGAAAGATCATATGACTGCATTAATGATTAACAAACCAATATCTAGCATTGTAAAGGACTCCCACTCCAACATCCTAAAAATCTGAGATTGAGTATTTCTTTCCTTTGCCCCTGGCCAGTTTTGGTTGTTTATAATAGATGCCTAAGACTGTCTTGAGTCCATGGTATTCCCATGTTCCTCTCCACAGATTCCCTAAAGATTCCCTTCTCTCACCTCTTTTTCTTGTTTTTCTCCTTCCTTGCTTTTGCCTTCTCTTACACCCTTTCTGGTTGCAACCATGCCTGGGAACCCAGCCTTTAGGGAATCTGTTGACCTATATAGCGGGGTACTGGAACTGGCCTTCCCGCTCACCTGATTGCATTTTACACTGTTCTTGTTCTGTTCAGCAACATAGTATGTTTGATAGTCTGTGAACATTTTTTAGCCTCTTCATGGGCAAACCTGTAGTTTATGCCCTGCTTTGAAAAAACTAAATAAAAACTATTTAAAAAAGACTACACTCTTCCATGTATGCCTCCCTTTAAACGACCTCAATACCGATGTATGTGTTTAGCTACTTATACAGGGATCATGGTTGAGGCTACAACCATGATCCCGGTACTGTTTTTCAGAGCTGGTAATGCTGTTTTACATAAAAGTGATCCAAGCGGCTTTACAACCACTGGATCACTTTTACAGGTGCCGCCACTGCCTTTACTGGGTTCTCCCATCCTATCAGGGAGCCCAGTAGGGACCCAACTGACGGCATCAGCTTCCCTGGACACAGAGGAAATTATGTTTCTCCCAGCTATGTGATGTCAGAAACCAGAAGCAACTTATTTATTCACTTCCAGTTTCAGTTTGTTGTTTAGAATTGCAGCTTGATCAGATGCTTTGGAGGAGAAAGGAGAGCTATGGGGTCAGAGACCTCAGATCTTTCCATACACAGGACCTGTGCACAGCTCATGATATCACAAGGGATGTTCAATTTTAAAAAAATTAAAAGGGACAGCGTAAAAAATAAATTTAAATAAAAGAAATAATAAAATAATCTAAAAAAATAAAATTTAACCGCTCCCAACCCCCTCATGCTTATGCACAAAAACAAATGGGCACGTCGGTCCCGCACGCATATGTAAATGGCAATCGCACCAGACATGTGAGGTATCACCGCGAACGTCAGAGCTAGAGCAATAATTCTAGGCTAGACCTCCTGTGTAACTCTAAACTGTTAACCTGTAGAGGCTTTTAAAATGTCAACTATGAAGATTTTTAAGTACCATAGTTTGTCACTGTTCCATGGGCGTGTGCAATTTTAAAAAGAGACATGTTTGGTATCTATTTATTCAGCGTAACATATTCTGTGTTCCCTAAAATTCATTAAAATGTATTTTTTCCAAAATTACTGCGCTTGAAAAAATGCTGCGCAAATATCGGTTGACAAAAAAAAAAATTGCAGCACCCACCATTTTATTCTTCCTGGTCTTTTTTTAACCACTTGCCCTCCAGGGGATTTACCCCCCCTTCATGACCAGGCCATTTTTTTGCGATACGACGCTGCGTTATTTTAACTGACAATTGTGCAGTCATGCAATGCTGTACAAAAATGAAATTTATGTCCTTTTTTCCACAAATAGAGCTTGCTTTCAGTGGTATTTGATCACCTCTGCATTTTTTATTTTTTGCACTATAAACAAAAAAAAGACTGACAATTTTGGAAAAAAAAAAAACAAAACAACAATATGTTTGACTTTTTGCTATAAAACATACCCAGTAAAAAAAAAATTTAAAAATCAAATGTCATAAATTTAGACCAAAATGTATTCTGCTACATGGCTTTGCTAAAAAAAAAACCTAATACATGTAAATTAATTGGTTTGCGTGAAAGTTAGCATCTACAAATGGTGGTATATATACTGGAATCTTATTTTTTTATAATAGTAATGGAGGCAATCAGCGACTTATAACGAGACTGCAGAGGGCATTTTGACACTGAGTGGGAACTGACTAACTGCCTCTGACATCCCAATGACACTAATACAGTGATCAGTGCTAAAAAAAAAAAAAGAAACACTTTGCCTCCGAGACTCTGCTCTCTCCTGGTTCTCCTCCTAACTATCGCAGCGCTCCTTCAGCGTTACTTATAACTCTGGCTCCTCCTCTTCACTCCCTCTTTCTGTAGGGGTCCCTCAAGGTTCCATCCTTGGGCCCCTTCTCTTCTCCATCTACTCCTCCTCCCTTGGTCACTTGATAAACTAAGTACCATCTCTATGCTGATGACACACAAATCTATCTCTCTACCCCTTACCTCACCCCTTCAGTCTCCTCTCGCATTACTAACCTACTAAGTGACATATCGGCATGGATGTCACTCCACTTCCTCAAACTCAATCTTTCCAAAACTGAGCTCTTGGTACTCCACCCAGCCCGTGCCCCCTCCCCTGACTTCTACATCAAGATCAATAACACAACCATCAGTTCCTCCCCTCATGCCAGGGTACTAGGTGTAATCTTAGACTCCCATCTGTCCTTTCAGCCCCAAATCCAATCACTGTCCAAATCTTGTAGACTTCAACTCCATAACATCTCCAAGATACGCCCGTTCCTAACCTCGGAAACCACTAAGCAACTTATTCACTCCCTTGTTATATCTCGCCTTGACTATTGTAACTCCCTCCTCATTGGCCTACCTCATTGCAGGCTATCCCCTCTTCAGTTTATCATGAATGCTGCTGCCAGACTCTTCCACCTTACTAACCGTTCTGTGTCTGCCACCCCTCTCTGCCAATCCCTCCACTGGCTTCCCATTGCCCAACGGATAAAATTCAAAACAATAACATATAAAGCCATTTATAACTCTGCCACAAATTACATCGACAATCTTGTCTCCAAATATCACCCAAACCGTACTCTCTGCTCCTCACAAGACCTCCTGCTCTCTAGCTCCCTTGTCTCCTCCCATGCTCGTCTCCAGGACTTCTCCAGAGCTTCCCCCATCCTCTGGAACTCTGTAACCCAATTTATCAGACTATCACCTACCCTGCTCATTTTTAGGCGATCTCTTCAGGGAAGCCTATCCTGCCCTCAGCTAATAATGGAATCTTCTACTCTTCCTACCAGTCCATCCCCCACAGTTATTACCTTTTGTACCACTAACCCCTCCCTCCTAGATTGTAAGCTCTAAGGAGCAGGGCCCTCCAATCCCTCTTGTATTGAACTGTATTGTTGCTGTATGGTCTCCCTTTATATTGTAAAGCGCTGAACTTTATATTGTTGGCGCTATATAAATCCTGTATAATAATAATAACACTGACACTGTACTAATGACACTGGGCAGGAAGGGGTTAACATCTAGGCTGATCAAAGGGTTAACTGTGTGCTGTGCTGTACAGCATGTGCTGTGTGTTTTACTTGGGAAACATGCTGCTGTGTATTTCTCTGCTGATACTCAGCAGCATGTTCTTGTTGGCAGGAGAGAGACCCTGTCAGTGTTACTTGGCGATGGCCGGGTGCCAGCAGAGAATCTCCATCCGGGACCCGGTGATTGACATCCATAACTGCCAATGGCGGTGCGGGTAGGGCAGAGCGTGCCCCCTACCCGTAAATGCAAATCATGTGTATATATATATATATATATATGTATATATATTTATATAAAACTTTGTGCAGCCCTGTATAGGGCAGAGGGAAAGAGGTTAAAAAATATATCATGTTTGGGGGTTCTTATTTATTTTCTAGCAAAAAACGCAGATTTTTACATGTATGCGAGTAATGTCAGAAATTGGGTGGCAAATGGTTAAGGAGACACTGTCACCTCGCCCATGCAGTGCAAAGTGAGTTTCTCTGCAACTGGCAACCCTTGGTCTCCCTATTCTCACTTTTCCAGCACTCTCTTGACAATCATACCTCTGTTGCAGATGGCGACACTGTCTGGCATTTCTGGGTATACCTTCTCCTCTGTGACAATGCTTTATCCTAAAAGTCAATTGCTAGGCATGATCATTGTCACAGGACCAAGAAATGACAGCACTGCTTCCACTGGCCATTGACATTAGTATGTCAGTGGTGGATGCAAAGGAGGAAGGGACTGTGAGGGAGCACAGGCAAGGTGAGTATAAGGGGATTGGGGAAGGGGGGGGGGATAGTGTCTTTGCAGAGATACTATGACTTTGCCCTGCATGGGCAATGTGACAGTATCATTTTAATTTCTTAGAGGGGTGTTAAAATCAAAATCAGACATTTGGATTTATTAAATTGTTATTGCTCGAATGAATGCTAGTGATAAACTGGTGGCATGTTTCCTGCATACGAGCATTGCAATGGAATGGCATTAATGGGTCACAAAGTGTTAAAGAACAAGTTTTTTTTAAAAATGAATGCAAAATATTTTTTCTTATAGCCAGTTACTTGTTTCAAACAATGATCACTTGTAGTATGAGCAGGCTTCAGCCTTTAACGTCTAAACGTAGTTCATTCTGAAACCCCTTACAATAGTTCTCAACAGCCGATTTCCCTCAAAGCATTCTTTAGAGTTGATATATAACATTTTGATTATATTTGCATATCTGCCATCACTATGATTATACCATGGTCCCCGTTCAGTTTGCTACCATATTAAAACAGCATAGCACATATGATTTCAAACCATCCTATGTCCAGCATTATTAGGGTCAATCCCATGGTTCCCTGAAGTTTTTTTTTAGATAGAGTATTAACAAAGAAAATAAAAGTAATGGATAGTGTCTCATATACCTACCTGTATGTCAAGCTGGACAGGGCTTGGGGTACGAGGCCCTAATTCTGCCTTCGGTGTTCTTTGGCTTGTGCTTGGGCTGTCACTGGCTATACTATCAATGTCAACACTGGGCAAAACCTAGAAAAGGAGCAAGCATATTATCATAGGTGTCAGAGAATCACAAGACCAAGAACTATTCTAACATAAAAAATATATAAAAGAGCACTTAAAGTTAAACATAGACCTTCGGTTTGCCCATCCTACTTGAGGCTGTCATTACCAAAATGCCTCCACCCACCCCAGGTCCTTACCTCTGTTCACAGAATTCCCAACAATGGCTTTTCTAATATATATCTATATCCAAGTGCCAAAATGTAATATATGCAGATAATCCTTAGATGCGACAGTTGCATTAGTTGTCTTTTGTCAAGCTTTTTTTTTTTTTTAATTAATTCTACCTAGTGATTCAGCGAGTAACACACTTCCTGTGTTAGTGACAACACTCAATCCCTGTACTGTATCTATGAAACAACAAGATTGTCACCCCAGGACTTTAATGGTAATAGATATCTGTGCATCCAGGGTGGAGTGCACAAGAAGTTAACAGCTTACAGAATTTCTGGCAGGACCAACAGGTGATTTTGTCTGCACTTATCAAACAGATGTAACAAAATGCCTTTAATGGTAAACTTAACACACCAAAAAGGGAGAACAGAATTGAATTATTAGGGTTTACATACACTTTAAAAAGTCTTGATTCCTCTGTTGGCCAAGGTGAAGGATCAGACCTGATAGGCTGTTCAGGCAGAAACAGCAAATCGGGACCTCTATCCTATACAGTCAGACTAATATTAAAGTAGCAAATTACTATAATGAGCGCTATTGGTGTAAAGCCAAAATCAGATGTAATTGCGACCGGTAGAACCAAACAGAATGGCACTAATAGTAACAATGCTGTCCAAGATAAAAAAGGATTTCATTGTCCACTTAAAAGTTAATAAAAACATAAACCGAAGTTCTTTGATCCGCATTGGATACAGAACTTAGGTTTATGTTTTTATGGTTTGTGATTTATACTATTTATTTTAAAGTAGGGCAATAGATTCCCATAAAAAAAATTAATATACAGTAACAAAATATATATATATATATATATATATATATATATATATACACATACACACACAGTATCTCACAGAAGTGAGTCCACCCCTCACATTGTTATAAATATTTTATTATATCTTTTCATGTGACAACACTGAAGAAATGACACTTTGATACAATGTAAAGTAGTGAGTGTACAGTTTGTATAACAGTGTAAATTTGCTCTCCCCTCAAAATAACTCAACACACAGCCATTAATGTCTAAACAGCTGGCAACAAAAGTGGATACACCACTAAGTGAAAATGTCCAAATTGGGCCCAATTAACCATTTTCTCCCCGATGTCATGTGACTCGTTAGTGTTACCAGGTCTCAGGTGTTTTAAATTTGGTGTTATCACTCTCACTCTCTCATACTGGTCACTGGAACTCAACATGGCACCTCATGGCAAAGAACTGAGGATCTGAAAGAAAGAATTGTTGATCTACATAAAGATGGCCTAGGCTGTAAGAAAATTGCCAAGACCCTGAAACTGAGCTGTAGCACTGTGGCCAAGACCATACAGCGGTTTTACAGGTCAGGTTTCACTCAGAACAGGCCTCGCCATGGTCGACCAAAGAAGTTGAGTGCACGTGCTCAGCGTCATATCCAGAGGTTGTCTTTGGGAAATAGACGTGTGAGTGCTGCCAGCATTGCTGCAGAGGTTTTGGGGGGGGGTCAGTCTGTCAGTGCTCAGACCATACGCCGCACACTGCATCAAATTGGTCTGCATGGCTGTCGTCCCAAGAAGGAAGCCTCTTCTAAAGATGATGCATAAGAAAGCCCGCAAACAGTTTGCTGAAGACAAGCACACTAAGGACATGGATTACTGGAACCATGTCCTGTGGTCTGATGAGACCAAGAGAAACTGATTTGGTTCAGATGGTGTCAAGCATGTGTGGTGGCAACCAGGTGAGGAGTACAAAGACAAGTGTGTCTTGCCTACAGTCAAGCATGGTGGTGGGAGTGTCATGGTCTGGGGCTGCATGAGTGCTGCCGGCACTGGGGAGCTACAGTTCATTGAGGGAACCATGAATGCCAACATGTACTGTGACATACTGAAGCAGAGCATGATCCCCTCCCTCTGGAGACTGGGCAGCAGGGCAGTATTCCAACATGATAACGACCCCAAACATACCTCCAAGATGACCACAGCCTTTCTAAAGAAGCAGAGGGTAAAGGTGATGGACTGGCCAAGCATGTCTCCAGACTTAAACCCTATTGAGCATCTGTGGGGCATCCTCAAATGGAAGGTGGAGGAGAGCAAAATCTCTATCATCCACCAGCTCCATTATGTCGTCATGGAGAAAAGGAAGAGGACTCCAGTGGCAACCTGTGAAGCTCTGGTGAACTCCATGCCCAAGAGGGTTAAGTCAGCGCTGGAAAATAATGGTGGCCACACAAAATATTGTCACTTTGGGCCCAATTTGGACATTTTCACTTAGGGGTGTACTCACTTTTGTTGCCAGAGGTTTAGACATTAATGGCTGTGTGTTGAGTTATTTTGAGGGGACAGCAAATTTACACTGTTATACAAGCTGTACGCTCACTACTTTACATTTTAGCAAAGTGTCATTTCTTCAGTGTTGTCATTACGTATACCTTTCTTACATCCACTTAACTTACTGTTAATGTCATGTTAATGTACCATTAGTCGTAGTTAGAATATTTTTTAGTAGAGGTTCCCTAATACCCATACCCTAGGGTTCCTCCATGGTAGAAAGGTTGAGAAAGACTGCAGTATGCAGTGGCAGAGGATTAAACAAACAAAACAGATGCCTAGAAAACCTAATTCACTATTAATTTTGCTACTTCCCAACTAACCATTGCAGTTAAAAGGCCAGTCGGAAGAGAGGACATTCTGAATAGATACCTAAAAACATCCTGTAGTTTCCGGAATTCCTTATTCTTCTGGTTTTTGTAACTGCGCCATGCCTACTTCTCCCCATTTGGACACTCTACACTTCAACTACTTCATCATCATGTAGTAAAGATTCCAAATGATTTTGATCTGGCAAAGCCTTTATCCTTAATTTACAAAGCTTTACAGCCATCAGTGCAATCATGTTGGTCTTGAGCTCTTACAATCCAAGTGGCAGGTGGAAGTGCCAGATCTGGATGGAGAGGATGTCTGGGATTACCCTTGTACACAATTGGTGGCCACATGGCATAAGCGAATTCAATTTAAAATTCTTCACATGGCCTACCTTACACCGCAGAGACTACACCGTATTTACCCCACAGTAGAACCTAATTGTTGGCAGTGCGAAGATACGCCTGCAGAATTTTTTTCATGTTTTTTGGTCCTGTTCCCACATACAAGCATTTTGGGCCAATATCTTAAATTTTTTTGCTCAGTACCCATATGGAAGAAAAATATATTTGAAATATATTTCAAAAATACAAATCTACATTTTTGGAATGCATTTACAAATATACTTAAAAATATATGTTAAAATGACTTTTTTATATGTTAAGAAAAACATTCTGTGGGTTTGCTCATGGATGTGTTTGCCAGGAGCGCACACAATGCCAGCGATCACACGATAATCAAATAAATAACAAGCAAAATGCACACAGCCAATTAGAGTGGATCTGTGTATTATGGTTGCTTTGATAGCCAGTCACATCCTTCAGGAAACTTTCTTCTACTTGCTTTGGTGGGTGGCTTTTCAAGACTAAGTGCATCAACAACCTCAATACTAGCATGTTTCTCATTTTACAAACTGTGGCAAAAACCTTGGATCACCTTGGGGTGTCTACTTGGTGGAATTTGTAAAGTCCTGACATTTTTATTGGATATGTTTAATAACAGAAAGTAAGGGACACAGTTTTTAATTTTTATTTTTTCCTTTTTATAGAAAAACATAAAAAGCCCAGTGCTTATTAAATGCCACCAAAAGAAAGCTCTGTCTCAAAAAATTATAGAAAATAAATTTGGGCACACTACTGAATGGGCAAGTCACTGTCAGTGAAATAATCTAGCACTATTCTCAAAAATGGACTGGAAAGGATAGGAGTGTAACATGTTGATATTGAAGTGGTTAAAAGGATCTTTACATAAATCAAAGGCCAAAATGAAAAACATTAAGATAAAACACAAAAATACGTATTTTTAAATATATGAACCATACCTGAACACTGAGCTGTGGTGGTTCCTTCTTCTCAGACTTCACCTCCACTACTGCTATATTGGGCTTCACCACTTTTGGCTGTGGCTTAGGGGACTGGGGTGGAACAGACACATTGACAACAACTGGGGTGTGGTCTAGTGCGGTTTATAGCTGAAGGAAAAGGAGCTGTACTACAAATCCGTGGCTTTCCTGAAATCAGAGTAAGAAATTAAATATAAAAGGTTCCCTTCTATGTATGTGGACTCATACATTCTTTTTATACAAGAAAATACATAAAACGAATTGCATTGCTTTAGTACTGTGAAGTCACCGGGAACACATACATTCTTCAGTTAGCCCCCATTCACAACTGAGTTCTTTGTAGCTCAAAGCTTTAAAATTCTCTACAGCAAAACAATCACATGCTTTGAAATTGTTCCTGTTCACACTACAGTGTTCAGATGCCTGTATATTAATGCCTAAAGTTTGAAAAGGTACACTAGCTACTTCTGAAGATGTATCAAGCATTTTTGGCCCAACTGACTTCATTAGAAGTAAAAGATAAACCTACAAACACTATGTTCAAGTATGAACTGGAGCTTATCAAGTAAACAAGCTGAAATCTCTGCTATCGTTATATGACGACTCCAGTCAACATGAAATACTCATTCAGGGGGGGAAAAGCCTTCATGCTGATTTGGATGTACGGCATATATGCAGGCTGCCATTGTTGACCTCTCCTTTTGAAAAACAACTAGTTGCCTGGCTGTCAGTGCTGAGCCAGTGCTAAACTTATTTTTTTAAAGAGAGATATTTGGCGCACTAAGAGGAAAAAGACCAGATGTATTAT